CAGGACCTCGGACTAAGTTGGAGGTTTAGTTCGCTGTGCTGGGGAGAGAGGGTAAATAAAGGCCAGGTCTGAGGTGCCCCTTTAAAGGGACTAGGACAGACTGTTTAATTTGAGAAGTTATTCGTCTTATAAGCTTAATTAATCCTTTATTAGGCCTAAGACAAAGCTTCGCGTATTCCAGCGATCATGTAGACATTTGCGTGAATAGATCGGCCCTTCGTGAAAAGCCAATTTATCCCATAATCACAGTACAGAATTTGCCTCTTCGAGGCAATCAAGCCTCAAATGGGTCAGCAAAAGGAGTGTTTTTTTGTAATTTAGAGAGCTTGAGCATCAGCCTAGCTTTATGAGATACATTCATCGTATTTCGTTCAAGGGGATGAGGAATTGACAGTTGAATTTTGCACCAATGCTATGCGTAGAGCTGACTCTTCCATTTAATTTCACTTGGCCTTGCTTTTCCAAAAGTCGTTCTCATCCAGGCTGGACTGCAGTTTCGACCACGCAAGGTCTTATCAACGCTCCCAGCGGAACTCGAACCATGACAATGAAGCGAGGACTGCAAAAAGAAGGTGCTTAGACCAAGGAAAATAGAAAGAAAAATTTCCAAGAAGAGTATCATGAGGGACAAAGACAAGTGAAGAAAAGGCGATTGTAATGTGAAGAGTAGAACCCGGAATAAGCCACAAGTTACCGGTTTGGGTCCATCTAAGGGCCATACGAGACAAATTGTAGACCATTAGAGGTGCTAGGCTAAAGAACTAGGTCCATTTCAAATTTATAGGATGTGTGAACCGAGCTGGGGGAGGCACAATATCAGTCGGTCCCTAGTATGTATGTGTGTATGTGTGTATTGTTCGTGTGTTCTTTTATTGAGATGATTCCATGCATAACTGACTGGAGGTGACTAAACCATGTACACGTGTGCAATTGATCTAAACCTTAAGATTAGGTGGTACTGTTAACTTGAGGAATGAAAGGTGTGATTTACGGGAGATTTCAAGGTACATCGGCAGTCAGAGTTCATACAGACAGTGATTTTGATGCCACAAGTTTTGAACAGAAAGGGTTGGTTAAGGGGTTGCCTTTTCACATTTCACTTTGATATGTCGTAACTCTACGCTAAAGAAGGCGCCTCTCACTAACGATGGCAGAGAAACGTCTGGGAATATGGCTTATAATAAATCTTTTACGACTAAATCAAAGCAAATATTAAAAAATCAAAATAGAAACAGGACTTCATATGGAATGATTGTACCAATATAAAAAAGACGTATAAAAATAAAGGTTTAACATAAAGTGGCAACCAGCCTCCGACTCTGTAGGGCATGGCCCCTTTTCGTTTTTTTGGGCTTGCACGGCCCTTGTCTCCCTTAAGGTATATGCTGCAACAGAGGAATGCGCAGATATCGAATTAGCTGGAGAGGAAAAAGCCAAAGGGTCGGAAGACGTCATCAACATGGAGGATGACTGACGAAGCTGGCGACTAGGTGGGACTGAGGCCTGAAGATGTTGACTTGTATCATTGGGCATCACTGGAAGTCCCATGTCTACGGCCTCGCTCCGCAATAGGGACAGGGAAACGGGCGCAGGTTTTCGTGCTACCGACGATGGCGAGTCAACTCGTCGGACCGACAGAATCGGAGGCCACAAATCTGGGTCT